CTCAGTGTAATAGATAACAGGCAACAGTGGGACATGGGGGAACTTTCTCAGATATGTACTTTGATAATCCCTTGACTCTTATACTTTAGTCACTTTCAAGTAAACCTTGTGTTAGACATCCACATTGCTTTAGAAATATTCTATCCTGATGAAAAACAACAAGTTTATCAGTTCTTAGGACAAAAAAAGGTTTCAAAAAAAGGTATAATGTAAAGCTATTATTTTTGTTTTATGTTGGATGTGAAGGTAATGAAAACTAAATTTAGTGCGTCTTGTCTTTTTTATTCTACTCAAACAATGCTAAGACAAGAGGAATGAAAAGGAATTCTACTTTGTATGGAGACTCAGTCTAAGTTTCTACTTCCTTTCTCAACATATAGGAATCTCTTCATCATGTTCGGCTATCATATACGTCCCCTTGAATCCTAAGAACCCTAAATTCTCAACTTTATTGACTGTTTCCATGACTTAAAAGTCTCCTAATAAACTACAATTTAGGGATATCATAACAAGGAAGGTTCCACACCCTGAGGGGTCTCTGATCTTGGACTCTGAATCTGGCTTGAATAAAGCACGAGTATCTCGATTTCCGCCTTCATGAGGTTGACCCTATCTTATTAGCACTTCCCTGCATGATTTGTTGACTTTGACAGCTCTGATAACCAAAAACACGCTCCCCAATTCCAGCAAAAACAAAGTGACGCAAGGAATTCTATTGAAAACATATTAAGCATGCATTTCCGTTACAGATTAAACGCTGTGAATTGAATCAGAACTTAAGTTCGCAGTGTTAACAAGTTACTTATTAGCAAGATTCAAGTTTTCCTCTCAGCCCTTGTCTCTAAATCTTAACTCTAAAATGTCCCAGAAACAATGAAATAAATTTGGTGTGACCTACACCTACTAACTGTATTGCCAAACCATACTCCAAATTCCCAGCACTTGATTCACTCAAAATCAAAGCATTATAACTACAGGCAGAAACTACATCTGCTAACTGTTAATCTTATCGGCAAGTTCAAGTTCAAATCTATAAGGGCAGCCAAGTTCCCGACCCAGATTCAAGACCTAAAGTCGAGGAGAGTGGGACCATTGTGGCCTTTGCTGTGAAAACTTGTAAATTGACAACTTTAGGTAAGGAACCAACAACTCCCCCTATGAACAGTAGCAGTGAAAGATAAGGGCTTATCAGATCAGCATCTGTTGATCCAAAACAACAAACTCAAGTCCTACAGCATTTAATTTGCAACAAGCAACAATGAATGGAAATCATTGATCGTTAATCTTTAGAACAATGAAGAAATAGTTGTTTTATTACCAATTGTCTATTGCCTGTGGGGTTAGGCATCTGGGAGAACGGTTTATCTTGCAATATGATAGCAAACTTTATTGTACAACAATTGTAAAAAGTATGGCAACTACTGAAGGCTAATCTACCTAGCAAAATTTTTGACCTTGAACATGAAGTAACAACTCTCATTCAGTTCAAGGTCATACGAGTCAGACACTTTAATTACCCCCTACCATAGCGTCTTAAAGAGATACACATCAAGAAGCAAAGTCCAACAATTCTCGGTCCCCGAACTTGAAGGATACAAATTACTTCACTCTGGTGTATCACCTTCAGAAAGTTGGAAGCACCTTGAAGACATTACAAGGTGCCAGTAATAATACCCAAGATGAAAGGCTCCAGCCACAGTCTCATAAGATTCCTATAATTGCTGTCCTAAAGTCAATAACCCTTTCCTCCCTGCCCTGTCAGTTATAACCAGTCGTAATTACTTTCAGAAATTGGGAAGGGAAAGATCTAGAAGACTGGATGGGGAAGGGGGGTTAGCCTGACGTGTGTTCCAAACCCATAGCACACTGGACACAAAATATCTCAGTGAGCCTGGGATATTTTGTGTCCAGTGTGCTATGGGTTTGGAACCCAGGCTAAAGAGGGGTAGGTTAGGTACCATCTTTAGTTTACCGAGAATATGTGAAGGACCAAGTATGGAAGACTGAGTTTTGGTAAACTATAGGATGGTAACCAAGCCAAAATTTTGCACCATGGAATGGACAAAGTTTCTACCATTAATTTAGATACAAAAATTTCATTAACCATTATTCAGTCTTGGAAAGACATAAACCAAAACTTTGTCAACAAAATAAGATGACACCCAGGCTAGGGCGGGGATGTTAATTACTGGCTTGTAAATATGGCACAAATACATTAAAAGGAACTGCTTTCTGCTCCAAAAATGGAAGAAATTTCCCCCTTGATTCTTTTCTTTAAAATTTGCTGGATGAAACCAAGAGGGCAGATGAGAGAAGTAGTCTCCATAGCAGGCTTATAGAACTGGGGGTTTGGTTAGGTCTTCGGCTGTTTTCTGATAAGCCCAGTGAAAAAAAAGGGGGTAATTCAGTCAGGCCGACTATGTTGTCTATATGCGATCAGAAAATAGCACATAAAAGCTCCCAAAGACCCCCAAAACCCCCAGTTTTTGGCATGCTGTGGAGGCTAAGAGAACTGTACAGCTGGGAAAAACTCTGGTCCTAATAAAACTACCATAAAAGAATCAGATCAGTCTCCTTTCACACCTCTTTATGAGATTGAATTAGGATGAAATGGGCAGATAAAAAGGTTGGTTAGGCTTTGATGAGGCTTTGATCAGGTCCTAATGGAGTCCTGTGGAACTCATTAGCAATGTGAGAAACAGGAGAATCACCTCTTCCTTTTACTGTGAATTCAGTTAACCACAGCCTATTCACATTTATCCACTGGGTTACAATTATACTGTATGAGGGCCTGCATGCCCTTTTTTGTAAGGCATAATCAGGCCTTTTTAGACTTCGTAATTCGTAGGCAGCCTCTGCAAAAATCAACTTAATTCATACTAGGACATTAGCCGCAAATTGTAAAGTAGTAATCAGCTCTGAGACTTTAACGTAATTCGTCATCGACGCCAAAAATTTTGCGTAATTCGTAATCCCTACCCCCCAAGCAAGCCCTCGAGATCCTGTATCTGCCGGCCACTTGAAAAACTGTGTGTTTGAGAGATCTCTGGCACAGCACCACAGTGGTATACACAGTTTAGATATGCAGAAATGCATTTTACTGCAGGGTGTGACATTGGAAATCTATTTACATTCGTAGATGCATTTCTCCGGGCACAAAAATATATGTTTTGGCAGAATCATGTTGGTAGATGTTACTGATTGATATAACAATCACTTCCTGAAACTGTACATGCCACTTAGGTAAGACTTTTCCCGGCCAGACTCTGTTGCTCATTTGGCATTAAAAAAAAATCCTACAACACAGGAATTACGTTGTTAAGGCCTATCCTGAAGACCAATCCATTGGACTAACTACTCCGTGGGTCTGTCTCCCACTGCGCTGCCCATACAAGGTCGTACAAGGTCATCACAAGTTTTGTGTTAATATAAATCATCTGAATGTCCCTGAAATCAAGTTATTACCACACACATTCATACACAGACCACACGTAAGCTCTCCCAGCTGTATGAGTGATAATCTCACAGTGAAATTGATTTGTGTCAAGTTTATCTAAATTCTATTCATGATATTAACTTAATATCACACCTACATTATACACTCACACACTATCACATACTCAGCCTCATTCTATTCTAAAATATACCTATCAGTATTTCCATTTAGGTTATGACTGACAGACAGACAGTGGCCTTTTTCAGCAGTTAAACATCAAACAAAACGGGGGCTTGAAAAGTTGATCTACATACGATAGGATACTTCAAAGCAAATTGAGCTCAGTCCGCAGACTAGTTGCTGGTTTATTAAGTGCATTTTTCTCTGTTGGAGCCAGTTGCTATCTTCTTATCAAACCCAGTTGGCTGGAAAACATTTCTGTAGCAGACCTTTCACATCAGTCTTGTCTCCCCTTAAGGCTATACCAAGATACTTCCCTGGTTCTCGGACATGTAAAAGGAAAAATTCTTGTGACTAGTCGTGAGAGAACAAAAATAAAAGCCTGGGTCAGCCAATGAGTGTTCAACATTTAAGTCCAATTATGGCTCTGGCCAATACATTGAATTGTTGTCTCTTTAGAATATAATTCCTTGGTAGTCAACCTTTTTTTTGATTCTAGTAAGGAAAACAAAGGACTGTGAGGAAAATGTGACAGTTTGCATCTGATCTATTTACTCCCAGAAACTTTGTGTACTGAGATATAGACTTGCCTCCCAGAGCCTGTTTTCACCCAGATATACCAATCTAGCACTATCTGAATTTATATAACGATAGTTATTTACTTTTGTATCTGTTGACTGTATCCATCCATCTTGTTTTGTTGTGACCTGTATTTAGCCAAGAGTGGTAAAAATGTGCAATAGATTTCTTCATTCATTTTAAAATCCGACAACCAAAAAACTTAATTTTGTTGTTCTTAATTAAGCATGTTGGCTGGGAACCATTTCTGGAGCAGACTTTCCCCATCAGTGTTGTCTCCTCTTCTGTCTATCCCTGCAGGGCACTAACCTCTGATTAACTACAGGTACAACAAGTCTCAAAACTTCAAATCATCCTCTATAGAAGATATCATGTTATTTGGATCAACAAACAGGTACTACCAAATGTGGCAATCAGAGATGGCAGACTTTACCCCCTTAACCATACTGCTCTGAAATGTCTGTGTCTGCTGTCAAAAACTAGCAGAACTAAGGATGTGTATAAATGCTGCATCGTGTATATTCAGAGACACAAAAAGACATCACATACACATGCAAACAGAGAGAGAGAGAGAGAGAGAGGGAGAGAGAGAGAGAGAAAGAAACACACAGAAATTCACACACACACACACACACACACACACACACACACATTCTGTAAAAATGTCTTTTCTTGACTCCAATCCTTGGTTCATTACACCCAAACAACAGTTTAACTCTTAATTTCTTCTGCTAATATCAAATACATAAATGATATCATATCATATCATATCATATAAAATCGATATAAAGTATTTCCCACAAACCTTCATATGAGACCACAGGTTTCCTGTCGGCAGAACAGCTGTCTCCCCCGGCAACGCCCAGGCTGATGCAGAGGACGACGCCTAGCAACAGTTGCCTGGCAACCGACTCCCTCCCCCCAGACTGCACAGCTCTAGTCAGTCCTGCTGGCAACATGGCAGCATTCTGCTAACCCATCACACTCTGGAACATACAGGGGAACTCAAGGTAAACATCACATAGTACACTTTCACATTTTGTGTCATGACTGCATCTATAGTACAGAATGAAAGAATATCGATAATCATCTGCATTTAAACACAGTGGCTTTAAATAGCATACTGCTACAACCATCACACTCTGAAACATAATTATAGTGTCAGTTAAAATAAATATCACACATTTGCTAGTTTATATTGTGTCATAAAAGCATCTAGTCGGCACAAAATGAAAGTTTATTCAAAATAATCTGCATAATTTTATTAAACTCTGGATACAGCCTGTCATACTGTGAAACAAACATTGTGATATGATTTAAAAGAAATTTTCTTACCTATGTCTACATCTATCTATCTATCTCCCTACATGAAAGCTGAGATGATTTTGATACATATTTATGACCCGATGAAAATGTAGTGTTTCATTCATATGAAACTTCCCATTTTTATCAGAAAAAGGGGGCAGAATGGTTGACTGGTCTGTTATATGGGACACACAGATAAGAGCTTCACATGTTGAAAGGCAAGTTGACATGTTTCAACATAGGGTAAGCTGGACTGATATTCACTTCCTGAGGCTTTCTCAGAACAAACTTTAGGCCACAATATTTTAGTGTGTTGGTTTTGAATAAAAGAAATGGTAAAAGGTAGTAGAGGAAAAGGGATGGGCCCATCTAATACTATGCCCTAGACACAGTAGATCAACAACCCACTATCCCTACAGCCTCAAAAAAGACTACCTTTACCTTAGGCCACACCAATTTAATTTGTTGGTTCTCGGATTTTGTCAGAAAAAACATGAAGCGACAGGGCGAAAAAAAATAAAAATAAAAACAGGTTTAGGCATCCTATTATAGCCCCAAATGCTATGATAGGAGCCATGAAGTCAACACAAAAGGTTGTGTTAATATTTAAACAATGAATTTTGAACTTTTAATCAAACCACTGCATTGATAGATGGAAACACTGCAACAGCTAGGGAGAAAAGGACTTTCCACAACTGTTGGGGCAAAATATGAGCATTTTTGAGTTGATTCAGAACCAGAATCTTTTTTTTTTTTTTTTGCAGCAAATCAGAAAAAAATGAAGAGGCGAATCCGAGAACCAACAAATTAAATTGGTGTGGCCTTAAGTACATTTAAGTACACATACCTCTTTATGGACAGATGGGATCAAAAATTACTGCCAGGGATAAATGTAGAATGCAATCCCTTTAAAAGGCTTGAAGGTAGTTTACTCCTAACATATCCCTACAGCATAAATCATGTTAACGACTTGAAAGCACGCTGCCAGTAAAAGCACAGTCTGGCTGATTTGAAAGTTTCTTTTACGACAAAATCTTTAAAGGGCCTGTATTTATCTATTTATTGGCCATATAATCACAGTTTCAATCATGACTTCTACATACAAATACAGTATAAACTGTATCAAGAGAGGAGGAGGGAAAGAAAGTTACTGGCATTTGTGCAACCATGCTTCAAGATGATGCAGTTTACACTTACATGTACTTTAATCAGTGCCTATGAGATAATAAATAATAACAAAATCAAAGCAGCATTTTTTCCATTTATACCAGGAATAGCAAAGGAATACTGAATCTTGAAGGAAAGCCAAGTGTTTGTTATTGTATGTCAAGCCCATCTTTTTTTAGTCTCAATTCCCCAGCCCTATCACTCAGCAGTGTAAATCCCCCGCCCTCCCTGTTCCAGCACTTTGTGGACTTTGTTTACTTTTTCTCAGCCATATCTCTTTCTTATCTGTTGACAGCTGGCCTGGCTGTCAGCAGAGCTGTCAGTTCTGGTTATGACTGGAGGAGAAATAGGACAGGGCAGATGGGAAGGAGGAAGATCTTTGAGTGATCACTTAGCAAGTGACTGTAATTCAGTTTTTTATGTTCGCAGTAGCAAAAGTTCACGGTCTGAAAAATATGGACATGTTCATAGAACTAGAATGTTTGTAGTGGCAGCAGAACAAAGAAAGTCAGCAATTTATTTCAAAACGGTAATGATACCGATGCCGATACCTCTGCTTGGAGAGTACTAAAGTCATCTTGTTGGCTTCTCCTTTTTTCCAACAAGTTTGCTCAATGTAACATACCACCGTGGTACCCTTTAATAAACATGAACATCATTGAATAATTACTACAAGGATACAAAAAGATTCAATATAGTGTTCTTTTAGATTGAAGCAAATAAACCTACTTGATTGAAGTTTACATACAGTAAAGCCTCCCTTTGTGATTGCAATTCTACATCAATGCTTCAAACATGGGAATACCCAACAACGTATTAAGTCATGCCGCCGGTAGAATACATTGTACCCCCAGAAGAAAAGAACTACAATTTGAAGCAACCACAAAGCATGTCTTCTTGACTACAATCTCCAACAATCGTTTCAAACATGGGCACATCTAACAAGTCTATAAATCTTAACAGTTAATAGATCAGTTGTAAACGCCTTACCTTTAAATGGTAACGTAGCCAAGAGACTTGACGGAAGAAAAGGGGGTTAACAAATCTTCTTGACATGGAAGCACAGTTGGTCAAAAGCTGGAAATATCACCACAGTGTGTGGCAGACCTATTTCCTGACCCTAGACTGTAGACCCAACAATTATCAAGGCTGAAGAAGTGGCCCTTTCCATTCAGTGCATTAGCCTGCAGCAGAACTCTGACCCTCTCAGTTTGATTGCGCCCGGCTGGTGCCGACCAGCAATTTGTTTAGGAGCTGGAGGGGAACTGGACTTAATACTGTATATAGATTGGTGGGGAGGGATGTTATGTCTTGGGATTAACTACAATGTAGGGCAAGGGACGTGCTCCAGAGCAAGACTTGACATTTATTTTTTGGAAGAGGGTCGTTGAAAAGATTTTGGGTACAAAACCTTACAAACATTGTTGCCTCTCTTCAGAGCTTGAGTCTGAAATTCTGTTACTAAATAGCTGCCATAAAAAGTAATAAAACAAAGGTTTTATTACTTTCCTGACACTTAAATGTCAAGAATGTGTTGTACGATAATGTACAAGTACAAAAGGCATTTTATAGTTAATATCTTTCCTTAAACTGCTCCCTAGGCCACAATCTAATTATAAGTAAACATTTCTCTGCAAAGTTCAGCATCCGTAGACTGTACATCCAGCTGTATCAGCCTGGTTAATGTACAAATTGTGCACAAGCCGTGCTTGTTATTACAAACCTGGCTAAATCCCGTCTCTTCCCTTCAAAAACAGGAAACTTGGGGACCTGGAATGCCTCCTGGTTTATTTACGTGTTGATACATTTTCCTGGGAGAAGGGTTTAGAAGTAGGGCCAACCACAGTCGCAAGCATAACCTTATGCAGGGCTTGACATATGGAAAACTGTATTCACTCCATAAAGCGGACAGCACCAAGGCATAAACTTGGTCCTCAGGCTAGGTTTCATCATGCTTGTCCAGTTAAGCAAATTTCTTTTAAAATCTGCGAACTAAAACCTAAACTGCCCTTAGATTTGTACCTAGTTTCCTATCTCAAACTTCAATATGCTACACTACTAAGTACTGTCTGTATGTGTCCAGTGTATACACTAGATACAACAGTTTACAAGAATGTCTGTCCTGGACCCACCACAGTTTACTCAGTAATGTGGGGTGAAATTGGGAATGTGCTGCGGATTGAAAAGTGTGTCGACCTTTGTCCTAAACAATCATCAATCATCTGAGGAATAGTAATATACTTAGCTACATTAGTGTACTGCTCACCAGTGGGAAAATGATTAAGTTTGGGGTCACTTTCCCACGTAGATGAATGCACCCAAAATTGTTACACAAACACTGGTGAAGAAATATTTCTTCGAGAGGTCATGAATTTTAAATAACAGCTATGATGAAAGTTTTATCACAAGTTTTCATACTGATTTTCCACTGAAGGCCACATCAATTTAATTTCGTGGTTCTTGCTTTTAAAAACGTTTAATTTCGTGGTTCTCCTCTTTGAGAGGTCATAAGTTTTAAATAACAGCTATGATGAAAGTTTTGTCACATGTTCCAGGTTGATTTTCCAGTGAAGGCCACATCAATTTAATTTTGAGGATCTCAGCTTTAAAAACGAAGAGCTATAGTCAATGCAGCAGATAAAAATCCACATAGATGTACATCTACACATGTACATGTATGTATAAACCCAGGGCAAGTGCAGGTTAGGTGAAGACATCAGAAACACCTACACAGCTCCAATTCTACCTGCACTAACCTGCATATACCCAGTACATGGACCAGTGCAGGTTAGGTACAGGTAGACATCAGAAACACCTGCACAGCTCCAATTCTACCTGCACTAACCTCCACATACAGATGGTTTTTGGAGCCCTGATTACCGATACCAAAACCAGCAACAAACTGAAGTGGTAATGCCTAAACAGTGACATGGTTGTATCTGGCTGGCAGTAGCGTGTCGGCAGAACGTACTGCACCTGTGCGAAACCAGTAATGTATTCTGCTTAGCACTTCGGCAGAATATCTCATATTAGGTCGTATTCATGCATGTAAGATTAACATCCTGTCTGTAGTTTCCAAATGTTCTGTCTGAAAAAATATTGTCTGCAACAGGAAAAATTCTAATGCAACGTTGACCAAAAATCCAGCAAAAACCGTGGTTTTGCATAAGCGTAGTACCTTCTGCTGACATGCTACTGGCAGTTTAGTTCCTCCAGGACTCTGCCATGTCAGCAGAAGGGTAGGATTCCTGCAATCTTAGCAGAACTCTGAGACATGCTGCTTATTTCAGACACATGTTGCGACTGTTGACTCAGGTGTCAGATACGAAAAAAGCAAGGAGAAATATCGAAAGGGCATACGGCTAGGTCAGCATAATTTCTTCTGCGCTGACTTAATCTAATTTAGTTGGATTAAGACATGAAGTAGTCTACTGTAGTTTGAAGTAATGTATTTATATTAATAACAGTAGTGTCCAATATTAGATTATACTGCTGCAAGGGCCCTTGACAATTGTTACTGAGATTAATTTTTTTTTCTTATCTAACTTACGATGGTTTTAAACTAAGAGATATGAGGTCTTTCATCAGATACTATTGGTACTGAAAAAAAGCAAAACACAAAATTATGCATATAGTCAAACCTGTACAAGGGATCACCTCTGTATAAAGGCCATTGTAACATTATGGACCCAAGTATTAAGAATCACTAATATCCATGTACAATGTTCACCAAGTGGGCACCTGTCTACACATTTTCTCAAAGTCCCATGAGAAGTCATTGGAGATACAGGTTTGACTGTGTACATGTATTCCTTTCACTAAGAAAGATTGGATTTAGAGTTTTAAGGCCCACAGCTGGCGGCTGTATCAAGTTGTATCCTCTGACAGGAGGTTGAACTTTTGCTGACGACCCTCGGTGACCCCTGACCCTTACACCTGCCACCTGGTGCTCTCAAAGAAAGCTCAGATTTCACCTCTTTTTTCATCTTTTCAAATATCTTGTACATTTTTACATTAGACAATTGTCAACAGCTAAAGAAGGTGACTACAAAATGTCAGAGTCATTTTTCAGTCAAACTTTTGAAGTCAAACTTTTAAAAGTTTGAGGGGAGATACTTACTTAAGAGAAAGTCATGATGGAAAAGACATACAAAACACAAAAAAACTTATTTTTATAGTTTGTACATCTTTCATTTGTACAATAATCTAGATGGTACCTTTTCTTTAAAGTTGGCAAATTAAGTTGCATGCTACAAAAGCCGAAAGTCGACTGGAAAAGACATACAAAATGCACAATGAACTGTGAGTCTTTTTTTACAGAACACCCATTAGTCTTGGGACTGTCCTCTACAAATAAGCAGTCCGTTGCTCTAGTCCTGCATCCCAAACATTTGGTGGGTCCAGCAGGGCACTGGGCAGTCCCAACACCCCTCAGCAGGGCAAACAGACTGGTTTGGTGAGAGAACAAACACTGGCGGCAAACACTCCAATGGGAAAGGCAAATACCCTCAAGTGGTGGGTAAATAATGGGACAATATGGTCACCACTTGGGGGAAACCCCTATCCTATCCAGAACCCTGCCTTATAATCCCATCTCTATGCCTAGATAGGTTGGGTTAGGATAGTTTCCCTGTATCCAATAACATAGATTGCCCCTTGCATGCATAGTTTTGGATACAAGTTCTGGATATTAGAACCTCTATCATGAAATGCAATGGCATATACCAGTAGTGCACATACATGTAAGCAACTACAATGTATGTAACGTTACATATGTAGGAAATAACTTATTCCTTGATAATGTTAGAAAAAAAGTGCAAACTTATAGATTCTATTTTTACTTAGATTTAGACAACACACCAGCTACTAGACTTTTTAGAGCAATTATATATGAAAACATTTAATCAATGTCTAAGCATCAAGTTTACATCTACATTTTTGGAAGGGAATTTCTGCTGGACAACTTGGAAATGTTAGTACATACATGTATATGAAAGTACAGATAAGCAACTTCACCTACCAGTAGTACCAAGACGGAAAACCCTTGTCATTAAAACTCCAAAAAGCTACCTCTATGAAAGAAAGTAGACAGCAGATTGAATTCCCAGGTACATGTAATTCCTAGTAGAATGAATGACCAGCCCAGGAAAACAGCAGTGGCTACAGAAGCCTTTCTACCTGTGCACACAGTATTCCAGAACTGAGGGGAGAACCACAACTGGTCATCACCAGGCAGGCACATAACAGGAGGAGCCCAGGCAAGGCCACATCAAGTCAATTTGTTGGTTCTTGGACAATTTCGTCTTGCAAAAATTTAAGATAAAGAAAGTGGTTAAGGCCATGTCTATTATTTCTTGGTTCCCATACTTTTCAACATTAAACCTAAGAGATTAACATTAAAACCGACTTTAGCTTCAGATTCTCTTGTAATATAATGATTTTCTAGTACATAATTCCCTAATTTTTATTTTTTTAAACCAACTAATTAAATTGTTGTGGCTCAAGCCTCAAGTATGCCAACTGGAGACGCTGGAAGTGAAAAAAACACAGGTTCAACTTTCCCTGGAATCCTCCACATTCCTGAGGTTGGGAGCGCTGTGAGGCCAGCGCAAATTGATAAACAGAGCAGCAGACGTCAGGCTTCAGCATACAAACACATGCGGGGCAGCTGCTGAGTTATAACAGGTGACAACCAACGGTTAAAAGTATGGTTCTTCCTTTTTCTTAACATCCCATTGCCAGCCCCTTATACTATACTGTAAATGACAATTTTTTTTTACCTTGAGCAAATAATTCATCGACTTTCTTTTTGCTGCATCTGCCGCCAGTGCGAACGTATAGTTCCGTGAACACCTCCATTTTTCTCAGACCGTGAACTTAAAGTGATTTAATAGTACACTACAACTCGACAGTGTTCATATTTCATATTCTGTATGAGTGAGTGTGTATTTGTAACCATGACTTTCTTTATTTTCCTCAATAGACAACTTAACAAAGTGTTATCCAAGGTATACGATATCCACTTTAGAGCCAGATGTCCTGTTTTTC